AGCAACAAGTCAGATGATTTTCAGTAGGGCTGATGATTTCACCCGGGTAGATGAGCGGGTGAAGCCCTACCCGGGTATTGAATTACCCGGGTAGCCCGGGTACCCGGCTATTTTACTACCGGGTAGACCGGGTACCTCGGCAGTATGGTAATTACCGGGTACCCGGGCACCCGAAAAAATGTGGAGGTAAAAATTAAACGCATTTACGATTATATACCGCAAACACGAACACGATTGTAGAAGTATATTAGAAGTATAAGTCAGTAAAAAATAATAATAATAACAGATAATTTCGTTTTTTATAAAATATGACTAGGTAAGAATGTTACTCATACGCCATATACTATACTATTAATGAAATCATATGCATAACTATTTGTATCATGACGCATTTTCATTTGACCGTTTGCAACCTTATTTATCAATCAAGTCAATTATTTGGGAATCCATCTTGATCTCAGGTTTTCGTGGAAATTGCATATTAAAGCGAAAAAAAGTCAACTTGCATTAAAACATTAAGAATGTACTGGCTGCTGCTGCAAAATCTAGCTGAGTTTAGAAAACAAAATCCTTCTGCACAAAGTTATGCTGAAGCCGGTTTGGACATACGCTATGTAACTATGGGGTACTGCGAGTAACTCAAACAGAAATACTACAGCGGTATCAAAAGAAGGCCCAAAGAAGTATTGTTAATGCTCCTTGGTATTTCACTAACTATGCCACTCACCAAGACCTCAAAATTTCATTTGTCAGGGAAGAAATCATCAGATTGACTCAGTGATAACACGATCTTTTTTGTTGTTACTATCATAACAAGTTTTAATAATTATGTATATAAAATAATTACATTATCATTACAAGAAGCATTGCACTTGACAGAGGTGGAGTTGTGGTGTAGTCGTCTCTGGCATACACAGCAGGTGTAGGTTTCTGGCCCTGGGTTTGACTCGATGCCAGCCCTGAGTAGGAGAAAACGTAGCGAATGTAGCCCTATGGACGAACAACTTCTGAGATACTTCGCCGACCTAAACGGGGTTAGATCGCCGAAACAACAGCCCTTGGTCGGGTAAAACCCGAGTCATTCCGGTACGTAGAACCGGCTGTCGTGGGAATGAGCTCTCAGCTCTCTTCTACCGCGGATGAAGAAACTAGCTGCTTTGTTTGCTCAGGGAGCGTAGAACACAAAGAAAATGCAGAACTAACATGGACATCAACCTTGTCGTGTCGGTAATGCAGCCACTGTATTAATTCAAATAAGTTCTTATTCAATTTAAATTAGTATGGTGGTTAGTGACAAATCGATACCATCAAGGTAGTACTCAAATCAGTACTTGTATCAAACAAGGTATCGATACCTACTCACTATCGGGAAGGTATCGAGTTGATCTGATCCATAGAACTACGATTTTGCTTATTTTTCAAAGTTATTGTATTTTTTTCACAAAAATATGCATTTTTACAAGATTATTTATCTTTTAATATTTTTTCATACAAACATTTAAATCCACAATTGTTTTGTATAGTATTTGATTTCAAAAATAATAGAATACATTTTTACAAGATTAATAGATAAAGTTTTTTCATATAAACTAAGTTTAAGAAAATAACTCCCTTTTTGTTATATTTCCCAAAAACATCAACTTTTCCTAGTGTTTTCGTGAAAGGCGGTTTCGAGATTTTGATACAGTTGTACTTGTTTTTGAGAAAAGTCTCTCGCAGGGATAGATGACTCAACAACCGTTATGTATAGACGGGCTTGCTTATATAGCTGCGGAAATGAAGTGCGCATATCTTCCCATCCCTCTAATGGGTTCCTTTTCAAAGAAGATGCTTTAGCATAATAAGTTTTGGGCTTCCGATACAAGTACTTTTTTTCGATACCTACTTGGATTGCAGTGAAAAGTATTGAGTACACATATCTTCGCCATATTTGGGAAGTTTGGTTATCTGTTAAACTAAACATATTCTACTTATCAAGCTTTTAATCGCATAATGAAATCTCCAAAAACGTAAATTTTGAGTTACATCTATATATTATTAAACGTGCGATATGTCCATGCTAGTTTTGCATATTCTCTGTATTCTATGCTCTCTGAGTTTTGGTCAGTGTTGTCATCGAAAATTCCCTTGATCCGAGTTAAGTTTGCGAATTAACTTACATAATCCCGATCAACGCTGCTATCTGTCTATGCTTTTAGGCACTGAAATTTAAATAAGAATAAAAAATTTTATTAGAAATAGTAAACTTAATAATAGTTAACNGTGTTGTCATCGAAAATTCCCTTGATCCGAGTTAAGTTTGGGAATTAACTTACATAATCCCGATCAACGCTGCTATCTGTCTATGCTTTTAGGCACTGAAATTTAAATAAGTACAAAAAATTTTTTATTAGAAATAGTAAACATATTTTAACTTTTAATGTGAAGAACGAAATTGTTTCACGGTTTTATTAATTATTGATTTATAGTTCAGTATTATGTATAAAAGCTGTAAGCGCATTTCTGGGGTAGATCCAATTTCGATCCGAAGTTTTTTTTTGTATAGCTGTAAACTGAAAACGTTATTTCACAACGACACGTTTTGACAGAGGTAAGCAAAGTTACGATTGCATTTTTAGCTACTTTNTTTTTTTTTTTTGTATAGCTGTAAACTGAAACGTTATTTCACAACGACACGTTTTGACAGAGGTAAGCAAAGTTACGATTGCATTTTTAGCTACTTTGGTGGTATACACTCCTAACTAGGGATGGCAGCGATTAATCATTTGATTAAATTAATCGATTATTTTTGTCCAATTTCCGATTTAATTGTATCGTAGTCCTGTGTTTCATTAATCGATCAATTGTAAAATCGTAAAAATATTTTAAAGAAATATCAATTCTAAATTGCCTAAAATCCATCCATCGAACATTCTTTTTTGCTAGCTGCATCAGCTTTACTCGACCCGATGTTCAAAAAAATTCATTTTAAAGATCCGTTAGCATTTTCCTCAGTAATGAAGTTCTTACGAAATGAAATAATGTGCGTAGATGATCTTAAGGAACCGGGTAGCGAGTCGTCACTGTAATCAGTAGAAAATGAGTTCGATCTCTGGGCCGCTCATAAATCTCTTGTACATAAACGAAGGCGAAGGGTCACCCAAAAGAAAAAATTAGTTTTTATTTAAATTGCCAAATCCAAGAACTAAAGCGGAATATCAAAAGCTGCTAAGTTCCTTTAAAAATTCGATTAAACGATTATTTCTCAATAATTTCAATTAATTTTTTTTTGTGATTAATCATATGATTAATTAATCGGTTNAAACGAAGGCGAAGGGTCACCCAAAAGAAAAAATTAGTTTTTATTTAAATTGTCAAATCCAAGAACTAAAGCGGAATATCAAAAGCTGCTAAGTTCCTTTAAAAATTCGATTAAACGATTATTTCTCAATAATTTCAATTATTTTTTTTTGTGATTAATCATGTGATTAATTAATCGGTTATTTTATTTTTTTGCCATCCATACTCCTAACGCTAACCAAAAACTCGTTCAGAGACACAGACTTAAATGTTTGTTTCAATGTCGAAGAACTCTGAAGATCTGTGAGTGCCTCGTAAATGGATTTGTACCCCATCGATATCACTACTACCATCCGAAAATTAATCTGACAAAGCTTTCAGGAGATGTTATCAGTCCCCAGTTATGACATTTTACATTGCATTCGCGTTTCTTGTAGAAAGTTGTATAAAGGTTGGAAACATTCAATGCTTTTCTTTCTCACACAGGTAATATATAAATTTAATTTTCTTTTAAAGGATGATAATTTGTCTCTCGCTAAAAATACGGTTGTTGTTTTCTTTGATCTTTCCAAAATGTTATGAGCCGGATATTCGGATAATAATATTTTGGCGCTTACACGCTAAGTGTTTGGCCGAGCTTCTCCCCCAATTTGTGGTGGTCTTGATGTTGTTACAATAATTGAGGGACCTACAGTTTTATGCTGCCTTCGAACGGCAAATGGATCTTATGAAATCTTTTTCATGACAGAAATACGCTCGGAAGTTTGCCATTCTCTGCCGAGGGCCAACCGCTGTCATCTTGATGTTGTTACAATAATTGAGGGACCTACAGTTTTACGCTGCCTTCGAACGGTAAATGGATTTTATGAAATCTTTTTCATGGCAGAAATATACTCCGAAGTTTGCCATTCTCTGCCGAGGGCCAACCGCTGTGAAGAAAAAACCTATTTTTTGCGATATTGCTTTGACCAGCGCTCGGACCCAGGTCGTTCGGAAACTGAGCGTTTAGTGTTCGCAGGAAATATTTATAGAATCTAAATTAGTAACCGCTACATAAAGAGATCTTGAGAATTGTCAAAAAGCTACAGACTTAAATTCACAACAAAAACTTCGTTGTTTACAAAAAGTTCAATCACATGGTTTCGCGATGGATAATTCTTGCCAGCTAAAATTTTTTCAGCACAAAATGACTGGTTTACTCGCATCGAATAGTCACTTTTCTCTGTCAAGTTTTGATTGCTGTTTTGTGATAATTCGTATTAATAAAGTCAAAATATTGCGTTGCGAACTATCACAATGGTTTTAGGCTCTTCGGATTTTTGGTCTGTAACCCTTTGGATTTAGTGTGCAAGACCTAAAGGTATATTTTGTTCCGAAAAGAAAAGTAAAGCTTTGTATGGTTAACATGAGCATAATTCAATATTATTGAATCATGTAACATGAGCTCAGAAATATTTTTTAATTTTCTGACAACTGGGAAATTTTGAAAAAACAAAAGTTTGGAGAACAGTGTGATATATACATACATACATACATACATATTGATAAGTGTTCNATACATACATACATACATACATACATACATACATACATACATACATATTGATAAGTGTTTAACTTTCAGTATGCATGACGAATTTTGATATTAGTTTTAGCGATTTTTGCTCATAGAAATTTAATACGTATTTCTTAATTAACTTGTACTTATACTTTCATTGCAGGCGAACTGGTGGGGGTATGGGTCTGAGTTCGAGTCGCTTGACTGGCACGCCATCGTCGTCGAAGCGAATCGATGATAATTCTTCGGTGCAAGATGAATCCTTAGACGGCGAAGATTCCGGCAATTAACATATTAATTAAAGCTAAATTTTTAATTGAATGAATATACGAAACATATTTTAATTTCGCTTATTACTTACAAAATCAAACACTCCATTTCTCTGCCGACAATTATTTTGTTAGCAGCAACTAAATTATCAAGCTATAGAAAAACAGCACTTCACCCATACAACATTTAAAAAATACGCGAAAAAGTATCGAAAATACCGTATTGATTATCAATTAAAAACATTTGTATACTTTTTATATGTCCACGTGACTTTTATACATACATTCTCCACTTAAGCATAGAGGTATGTATAATGCATGCCCGTATATATAAATTCAAAACGTACCAAACAAATGCATAGCCGATTTACCAAATTTATACCATAATTTAGGTGAGCCCATAGACGAGTATTTGAGTATTTACGGAAAATTGCATTTATACAATTAAGAGAAAAATAAAATTATAAAAATATACAGGGTAAAACGGAATATTTATTGGCACGTTATGTATACACTAAACTTTACAGTGTGTATTCGTTATACAGGTTGCAATTTTTCCGAGTACTTCCGTTGTTTCCTTGTAATTATTATTATTAGAAGCAGAGTGATTAGAATAAAGAATCAGAATATTTCAAATTTTTTTCTAAATTCGTTAACCAATGCTTGATTTTGATTTAATTGCAGTGTACAGTGTATTTTCTTATTGAATAGGATTTTATCACCTAAACTTGTTAGAAACCTTTAAAACCTTCTTAAGGATATGGCGTGAGACAGGGGCGTATATACATACATATGTACCATGAGTGTACAACATCTGCTCTGAAAACCAACAAAATTAAATTGAGAAAATACGTACATACATACATATATCGGTGTATAAAATGATTTATTGCACATTCCCACACCTCAAGTATTAAATTTTTTTGAAAGATACATGCCGTGCCTTAATAAATGCGTTCAATACTGGTCGTTGGTGTATGCAGGACAGATTTGAATTTTCACATGATCACACAAAAATATATCGCCAACAAACTTTATTTTTAAAGCAAACCGTTGTGCTTAATTGGGAAAACGAAATGACAGGGACCCCAAATAATGATTGTTTATCAGATATCAAGAACGAAAAAAAACGTACCTACTGTAAGAGCAATGATTCTTTCATAGGGAACCCTTTTCTACTTTTATGTGCTAACATTTTTTGTAGTTTTGCTATAAAACACATATAAAAATGATTTTCATTTATTGCTCAGAAAATAAAAGATATTTTTTTTGCAGACAACAAATATTTTTTAATCAATCGTAATTCGCTTTAGGTGATGATATTGACTAACAATAATAACTATTTTAATATATACACACCATATTGTAACTTACTCAGTAACATTTATTTTCCAAGCGAAAAATTAAAATTAAAAAATAGNAAATAAAAGATATTTTTTTTGCAGACAACAAATATTTTTTAATCAATCGTAATTCGCTTTAGGTGATGATATTGACAAACAATAATAACTATTTTAATATATACACACCATATTGTAACTTACTCAGTAACATTTATTTTCCAAGCGAAAAGTTAAAATTAAAAAATAATTATTATTAAAAAGTATTTTTTTAAATTAAACTTTCGTTACGGTCACTGAGAATCAGAAGAGTATAAAAAAAATTGGGGTATGAGATAACTGCGTATAGAAAATAGCCCATATGTGTACATACGTACATACTAGGAATGTTAATCCCGGGATCTCGGCCTTTTTTAGGTCCGGAAAATCGCGGGATTCTTGGCAAATAATCCCGGGATTTTCGCGATTTTTAATTTGTACTAATGGCAATAATAGTAACTACTTCTCTTGACCAGTATTGGCTATATTTATTTTTTATTTAATAATTAATATTTTTTTATAAATGTCTAGCTCATTATACATATAACACCCTGCGATAGTAAATTTTACACACAAAAATCAATATACTCGCGAAACCATGGGCCAAATATTGTAAAATTGTGTTTTTAGTTTTTCACATTAACTTCAGTAATTGAAAAATGATTTAAGCATTTCTGTGAAATGTGCTTAGAGATGAAGCATAGGTATCAAATTAAAGAGGCAATTCTGTAGAATTTAATCAGATTAAATGTTTTGGTGCACAAGGACTGGTACATATTAAAATGTCCTTTTTCGTCCTTCTAACTTTATCAGCTTAAAAAATTACCTTTCGTTCTTGTGAATCCAAAAAACTTTATTTTTTTTTTTAATTCTAAACAAATTTTCTCATTCATTTGGTACCCATATTTATTTATTTATTTTGAATTTTTTAAATAACTTGGAATTAATCATATCTTTGAAATTACAAAGTCCTTTAAAATATATCCTGATGTCAGAGAGAAAAAAATAAAAACGCCACTTTAAATAAAAAGTGGGTGGGAGAGGTAGAAGCAATTTTTTCGATTTAAGTTATTGAAAAGTAATAAATATCTAAATCCCGGGACTAATCCCGGGATTGTGATAATGACATCCCCAAAATGCCGGGTTCGTAAAAATCGAAAAAATTAACATCCCTAGTACATACATATGTAGTAAAAGTACATGCGTGCCCAATAAACACGAATTTCAGATAGTTCATCTTTGATTAAGTGTTACCCATTTATTGAAGCTAGCTTAAAATTCTGTTAACAGCCGTCATCGATTCGCCAACAGTTAGCGAGTGGCGAAACGAACGAACTCGATGAGGTATAACCAAACTCGCTATCGTCTATCCGTGCTAGCTAACTTTGTTGTTGCTTTCACATGCAAAATTCTTCTTTAAGCGACCGGAACTCAAACATAGCGAGCGAGAAGTGGCGAATCGATGACGGCTAATGTAGCTAGCAGCAATGGCAAATGGCGAGTTTGGTTGCACTTCATTGATTTCGTTTGTTTCGGCACTCGCTAACTGTGGGCGAATCGATGGCGGCAAATATAAATTACTACAGATGTATGAGTCAAACATGCATCTTAGTATCAATAATTCATTTTACTGAATGTAAACCNTAGCTAGCAGCAATGGCAAATGGCGAGTTTGGTTGCACTTCATTGATTTCATTTGTTTCGGCACTCGCTAACTGTGGGCGAATCGATGGCGGCAAATATAAATTACTATAGATGTATGAGTCAAACATGCATCTTAGTATCAATAATTCATTTTACTGAATGTAAACTCTCGACATATTCCAAACAAAACTTTTAGCAGATTAGTATTGCACTCCAGTTGGCAGAAATTAGTAAAGTCTCTGTTAGAAGCAGTTTATTTTTATGTTTTGGAGCTGGAGAGTTGACATGCACCGAGCAAGTCAACTTCCGATTGTGTTAGTTGCTTTCGCCATCAAACACAAGAACTATTCGAATACAAGCAAAGGGAGGATCTTATTAAAGAACTATCACGAATGAAGAACCGTTCCAATTGCCGACTGGAGCATATAAATAAATCAATATGTGAAGGTGTTATTCTGTCCTGAATTTTCCGGTTTTTTTTAATGCTTTCGGATGCAGTCTTTCTAAATTGAGTTTATATGATAATATATAGAAGAAATACAACTGTACTCATATATAAATTTTACTATTCATGTTTTTAATTCTTCTAATACTGCATCAAATAATTGAGCAGTCCACTTTCAAAGAGCGTTATGTGATTTTATAATAGTAAGCCATAAATAAAATAAAAACCGTCTACAACAACAAGTAAAATCCAAGTTGTATCTTTTTTTATTATCTAAAAATTTGCATAAATAAGAGCCTAATAACATTAAAAAACAAAATCGCAATATGGTAGTCTTTGAAAATTTTATATATAAAAAATTAATATAGCGAGTTTTGGAACAGTAACTTTTACATAGCTAGCCTTTTTAGCTTTTCGCGTTCTCTCTTTCATGAAGATCGGTCCACGTTTTCTTGCAGTTTTCTAAGTTCATCAGAAGATGGAGACTTTTGAACTTGTATAAATACGTACAATAAATATTATAGCGAATTTTGAAAGTGTATACATATATACACACAGCAAGTATTATAGCGACTTTTGCTAGAGTAGCTAACATTTGACGCTATTTTATTCAGAATATATAAGGATTTTGCACTGTAATGTTAGTGGGCATGAAACTACTTTAAATACTGGCACGTTAACCACCAAAAACTAAAAATCGAAAAAATTTTACATATAGCACTTTGCAAGTGGACTACTCAATTCAGATTGCAATGGGTTAACACTAGGAATACCAATCATTCCTAATGAATACATATGTATAATATGAAAATGCTGACTTTGACCACCAGTATTCTTTAAACTTTAGGAGCATAGCTTTCGCCCGCACACAGCTATATAGCGTACAAGTGCGAGGAAACACCCCAACTTCGCTGTTATGTTCTGCAATGTGCCATCAACACAATTTCGTATAATCCAGCCCAATTCACCTTTCTCTCAAACTAACATTACTCTCTCTTGTCTGCCAAATGTTCTACATTTACCTGCAAACCATTTTTTCAGAGTATTCTGAATTGTAGAGAAATTTTAAAGAATTCGTAAGTATCTCATCCTATTTTTTGCCGAATTTTCTAAAATAAATACACTGTGCACTCTTCGAAGAATTCCTTGTAGAATCTATCCAGAATTTTCTTTATCGAACATAAATTTCTTTACGAGTTCGTGTCAACCACTTCCTATAATTTTCTTCCAAGATTTGTAAAAAAATCGTTACAGAAATGAGATCCTCCTAAAGATTTCGTTAAGATTTCGGAAACTGGTTTGCAGGGCTATTATTGCTTTATCGCCCATTCCACGAACGAACAAATATTCGTACAAACTTACAAAGCAATATAAAAACAAATAATTCTAATGTTTGTTTTGCTTGTAAATTATAAGCGACATTTTTTTTTTAATGTTCTTTTTGATGCAGAAATATTCCTGGAGCATCTAGATGAATTTCTGTATCAAAAAGAAAATTTTGAAATAAATGTCGCTTACGTTATTTTGGCGGTTAGGGCTCGTTACGTTGCGCGTTGTATGTTGCCATGCCTCTTATTTATTGAAATTCGTAACTGTTCATTCTACATTCAAATATTTTGTATCGTACACTTTACATCTTCAAAAATAGTGCCTATTTGTGTATGTGTATTAGTTGCGGAAAAGAACATACGCAATAAAACGTATTAGAATTTTAATTAATTCAGTATATTGCATTGTGCTTTCGAAACAGACGGACAGGCGCTAATTCTTAAAATAAAGTATGTATAACACAAGTTCGTAATCGTCTGTTTGAATATGGTTTTCCAGTTTGTATTTTGTACTTAAGACATATGCATATACTACACACATATAAATATATATCTAATGTTTTCCTCTTACATAAAAAAAATATAATACATAAAAAGTGAAAAAACTATGCATTAAATATAAGGTTTTAATTTTTTATATATTTTGTTTAACATGATAAAATTGTATTACCAATATTAAATGTTTATAATAACTCAAGCCGCATTATTCTTTATAAATTTAATAAATACTGAAAATATAAATATTTCGTCAAACTATCTTAGCAAAACATATATTTTCCAAATCGCCGAAAACGAAACCGAGGTGAAGTAGTTTTTCCTCAGGTTTCTGAGATTTTTGATTATGTCTGGATCAGGCATATTCTAAGGTACCGTACAACATATGTAAATATGGACACAAATCTCCTTCTCTCAATCGTGAAAATTCACTTAATCCCGAGACACCTTTAAATTAACGAAAATTAAAAAAAAATCACAACTTGAAACTAAATGGTAGTTTATATTTAAGGACCGCCATTTTGTTGCACTAAACATGCTGCTCTTCGCTTTCCTTGTATTATTTTTGAGTTAATATAAAAAGAATTTGATAAAAAAAAAATCAGTTATTAGCTTTTTATAGGAAAATGAAGTCTGCAGTATTTTTAAATGTAATGTAACAGTTAAAAACATCACAGTTTTTTGGCGCGGAATTCACCAGGTTAAAAAATGGGAAAGTCTAGTTTTCTTCGAGTATTTTCGGCCTTCTTTCCTATATCCATGTGTTTTAGGTGGAAAACTTCTTGTAGCGTAACAGTCTTTTTCATTAATTGAATTTTCAGGTAATTAGAGAGAGGGCTCGTTTTGCAAGCAATAATGAAAGCTATTCGACGTGTTATTGTCCTTTAATTGAAATATTTATTCTTTTTTACTTAAAT